GGAATGGATATATTATGCATTGTATCACCGAGTAGCCTAAGTAGCTTTATTAAATCAACTGAATAGAACTGATATTCTGAAATATCGATTCGAGAAAGAGATGTATATCGATTAAATGCAAATTAAAAATACTTCCGAAACTGAAAACGATAATCGATTAATCGAGAAATTGAGTTACTCGTAGACGTATTTCGAAACTTTTGATATTGTTGCTATATAAAAATGCGCATGTAGTATTAGAGAAAATTTGCATACCTCGTACATTTTATATTAATGTCTTTAACACGTTTTAGAATATGAATATTTTTTTATAAGATTGCGTCATTTTTCTTTTTCTCTCACTCTCTTTCTTCCTCACGCATACACGCACGCGTTGCATACAATAAACAGATTTCTTACCTATAAGAAAAACATAAGAACAAAAAGAAAAAAGAAAAAAAAACATCGGATAAAAAAGCAACATCGAGCTTACTACGAGTATTCGCTAGTATCAAATATCGAGACTTACATCTAAATACATGTTAATAAATACATCGCTCTGAATACATCCAACATGATACATGCATACTGTTATGACACATGGATTGACTTTTTATTATGCGCGTTATTATCGGGCCTGCAAACAGCCATCATTAGGACCATTAATCTATCACTCCGTCAGTCACACTTTGCAATGGAACGAGTATGTAAACGTAAATTAATTTGTTCGGTCTTCGCGTCAGGAAAATTATCCTAGTCGTAGCTCAAGTATACTACGATCAAGTCATAGTATATAAACATAACGAGACCAATCATTAATCATTATTCATGATCATAAGGACTAAACTTTACAGAAGTAATACACACCGTATTGACGTGTAATTATTTCCTGTTTTACTTATACAACCTCAAATTGTACAATTCGAAATAATGTAGTCTTTTACTACACCATTACGATAGCTTCTTCACCGCAAAACAAGAAAGGATATTGATCTATCATCGTTTGAACAACATCTTCCAGGTATGGTCTCATTGCTTCAAATCTACCAAGGTCGTTAAATTCTATAGGTAATAAAGTAGGCCACCAGCAGATTGCCAAATTTTTACTATCCATACTGTTCAGCTTACAATTTTCAGCCACTCTAAAAATATATTGTATGATCAATAATTACGCAAACTATCTAAACTATAATAGATACTTACTTTACAAAATGATGAAAAATGAATTTAAGTACATCAAAATTAATTGGATTCAATTTGTTGAGCATCAAACGCAATGCCAACAATCTGCAGCTTCGATCTATAATAAATTTATAGTCAATTACGCTAAAGTATTATTTAATTTCTTTATACATCTAAAATATAATGATACATACCTTCCATATTCATACATGTCGCGGACATTGGTTTGCTAATACCACGAGCACCTAAACAGAAAAAAATTAGCATTAGTTTTAAAATAACAAAACTTAGATTAACATTAAAGTTATTATTATTTAATATTATTATTTATATAATAAATTATTATTATTTACCCGAAATGTCCTCGAGTTCGCTCATTCGTTCTTTATCAATCAATGGTGGTAGCCTCTTTGAAAAGAAATCTTTCAAAGCAGTTGCAACAGCATTTACTGGTATATCCAATGAATGTATGTCTACATTTCCATCTGTAATAATAAAAAATGTAAAACATATTGAAACGAATATATAAATAATAATTAACATTCAAATAGAAAAAAACTTACCTTCTTCAAACTTCTGAAAGAGGAGTTCAACATGCGCTCTATTTCCAGGAACCCTATATATACCTTCAGAATCTAATCCTTCGTCTTCAATAAATTGCACGCATTTTTCAAGAAACAGTGGTATTCGATTTGTTTCACTTTGTGCGAAATCTTCAATTAATGGTTGTTGACTCATGCTTAATGCTGAACTAGCACCTTTAGTTTGTTTTATTTTTTCTTGTTTCTTCTTTTCCCTTTCCTTTTCTTTCTCTGCATGTTTTTTAAGCTTTTCCTCTTTTTGGCGACGCTTCTCTAACTTTTCATCTTCTTTCGCTTTTTGTTTGTCCTTTTTTCTGTTCAATTTATCGCCATCTTTGACCTTATTTAAAATACCAAATCGAAAAAGAATGTCTTTAAAAAAATTTATACAAAGATTAAGTTTTAGTTTTTCACGCATCCTTTTTACTTACACTGGGAGAATTAATTTCTCGTGGAGACGAAACATCTAAGCTGGATTCATCATCTGGAATTTTGCCAAAGATAATGTCACTTCTCTGCTTTACTAAAATGATAATAATTTCATGCAATATCAAATACATAAGAAGAAATAATTCAGAGCAAACCTCCTGTTGTATCCTGTCTGAACCATCTTAAAAAATAATTGGAAAAAATTCTACAACTATTATTTACAACGTGTGATATTAACAATTTATTTAAATCCTGATTCAATCTTCATTCTTGAAAACTATTTCGAATTATTAAGTTATGAAACTAATAGCGCATTTAAAGTATTGAAACAATAACGATATTTTTTCTTTTTTAAAAAGCGCGAAAGATATAAAGCATGCATACATAAGCTACCAAACATATTTGTATCTCTTCTTAAATATCTTTTAGCATGCAAAAAATTCATAATTATATCAATGATAATACTACTTACAGGAAGCACTAAACATTTCTTGAGTCATATGTTTTACATTGTAGGGATGTTGTAACGATGTAGGTAAATGTTGCTGTGGTAATGAATTTCCAAATCTTTTTCGTAGACTAGCAGCAGCATGTTTATATTGTTTTGCTCTGGATCTCGAAGTATGCTCTGGATCACTAGATTCGGAAGAATCTGGTGTTTCACTAGACACTAAATAAAGAAATCATCTCAGATAACTAATAATCATTCTAATAATAAAACAATCGACGAAATAAATACCTCTTTCTGTAGGATTTACTCGCCAATTTTTATCCTCTTTGATATTATAATTCAAACCAACAATACCATCCCCGCTTCCCATACTAGCCAAAGATGGAACTTTAGGTGCAGCGACAGGTATAGCAGTACGTTTCTTTCGTATCCTTTTGTGTGATGATGGTTTTTTGTTTGCTTTACCTAAGACATCAGCAACCCTTTGTCTCTCCAAAGAACTCCACTCAGAATCAGAATCACTATATGCTACAAATCAAATTTAATTAATGTAGATTAATAGATTCCAACAAATATTTTCTTTAATTAGATTCTTACAAGGTTGTCCTTTTTCGCGTCTGTGACGTAACTTGGGTTTATTATTTCCAATAGAATCTTGTACTGAAGCGTACATATAATCACCATCATAAGAAGGATAAAGACTGGGCACAACGTCTTTAACTTGCGCATATTCGGAACCTAAGTCTACCAATTCGGGTGTAGCAAGAGGGGCATGACCCATAGTTATCTTAGGACCATGTTCATCCTTCTCACCTACTGTCATTCTAGCTATGGCATCTGTTACATTTGAAAAATCTTTTAAATTTATTTTGCCAGGTTGTTTTAAGGTTTGACTATTTCCTTTCGGTCGTGGTTTTGTCTGAGAAATATGACGCCTGCCTGTTGTGAAAGCTCTGTGAGAATAACTATTAGTTACTCCATCTTGATGCATAAACGTGTCTTTTACCCAACCTATTGTAATAAAAAAATATATTTAAAAAA